TTGTCACGGACGTTGGACAGACGCCCCTTTTTGCCGCCCATTCCCTTCCCTTTGACGCCCACCTTCCATTTCCGGACCGTTTCCTTTCCTAGCTCATCCCAGTTTGGACACTGTAGATACGTTCCCACAGCCGCATGCTACGTTCCCGTGATCGCCATGCCCTTGCCTTTTCTTTCTCGCCCTTTGTTCCCCCTTTGTCATCTTCACTGCCTCGCTCTCGCGCCTTGTCCTTGGTTGCTAAGCAGCCCCTCTAGTATATAAGGACCCCCCTAGGCGCTCCCTAGTCCCCATCTCGACCTCTTGGTCATTGGGACTAGGTGAGTGACCATAGCGTTGTATCTCTCTTTGATTGCTAATGTATAACTTGGTCATTGGGACTAGTCTGTCGCTCTCTGCGTGAAGACTAGCTTCGTAGGTCTTGTGCCTTTGTGCCGGCCTCCGCTCTGCCCCGTCGAGTTTCTTGTTGCGTTTATCCCTCTTTCCCTCGCTTTCCCCCTTTCGGCCCCTCGCCGCTCGCCTACGGGGTCGTCGCCGAACGTCGACCCGAGTCTACGCGCCTAGTCGCCGCGACACCGAGGTCATGGTCAGAGGTCTAGGCTTCATCAGCAAGGCCACCCGCGCTGCGTTGTCTGAATGTGCGCGTGTCGCCATCGAACGATTCCAGTCCATGGCAGCGGTCCGTAGCGACATACGTCGCTACGGAAATTTCCTAGTAATGATGCTCCGCCAGGTGGTAGACAGGATGAACTACGTGGCCTCACACCCTCGGACGGCGATTGCTGTCGCCGCACACGTGCAGCGCATATGTCTGGAGTTAGCAGGCCTGAAGACTTACGCGGAGGAGGTGGCACCTCGCCTGGAGGACACGAAGGATTGGAGCACCTCTCGGTTGCCAGTCCTAGGCGGCTTTGTGCGCGACCTACCTGATGCCCAAACTTGGTGCCGTGTCGGGCTACCCGTGTGGCTTATTCAACCTATCAGCCCGGACCTCGTGGTATGGCAGGCTGTGGATACGGAAGGCTTACCCGGCGACATGTCGAAGTCTCCATGCAGCCCTCCAATCTTGCACAAGGCGGGCACTTTCGTTGGGGCCCCCAACGTTACGGGGAATTGGCTCACGGGGATGTTGATGTCGGTGTCCAAACACGTTGGTGGGTGTCATCTGGATGGGCTGCACCTCGCCGCCGTACCACACCTCCCTGATGGGCCTCCTGACAACAAACGAGCTCGCGTGGAGAGCAAGAACGACAAGCCTTTGACCATGCGGCCGGCTATCAGCGCGGACGATGGGTCGACGTCCAAGAAGAAGAAGACTCGCAGAGGGCGCAAGATATCCAAGGGCATGAAAGAGGAGGCGCCGAACGCGAAGGAGGCCTCTGCGGAGTCGAGTGGCGCCTCCTATCCATCATCTGCCGTTGCTCTGCAATCAGGGCCGTTGCATCCGTTGCGCCACTATGTCCCGTCCCCCTTTTCAGAGGTCCCGAAGCCCTGGGTCCTTGCCTTGAGCGCGACCTCCCCGCTGAAGGAGATGCCGAACTCGGCGTTGTACTTCTACCCGCCTCCCTTCCTACTCGATACGATTTCGTCAGTGGCCGGCCTGTTTCCAAACTGCCCACACCCTGATCGCGCACGCATTGACGAAAAAGCCCACCGCTACCTTCACAACCTGGCCCGGATCCGGGAGTTTTGCCGCACACGCCTCTTTGACGAATCCATGGGCAACCGACCGCTATCGATCGGCGAGTGGCGTTCAGCCCTGTTTGGAGACTATGCACCGAGGACGCACCGCCCGAAAGGCCCAGAAACGAGTGAGGTGCGCCGGGAGATCCGTCGTCAAAACGAACGCAACGAGATCAGCGCCCTCTTCCACCAAGTGGGCCACATAGAGTCGTATACCCCCGACATATGCGTTGCCCTCAGGGGCATGACAGTCGACGTCGAATCTATTGCCGTGAACCCGGAGATCAGAGCCACCCTACTTTGGGAGGCTCACGAGCTCAACTTCCGTGCGGACATCTGCGCCCTCGATCGTCTCCAAGTGGACACCTCGAACTGGTCCGATCGTTTCCAATGGGAGCGCGAGATGCTCCTTTCTGGAATCTGGGGCGAGCCATCGTCAGGGGTCTCGGTTTTGCCATCTTTAGATTCTGTTAGGGAATTCTGCTGGTATGCGCCACCGGACGAGCGTTGGCGCAGCTGCCGCCGTTATCTGCTCGCCTTCATCCAAGTCCTCTGTCGTTGGCGTGGCTGTCCTGAAGTGCTGCTAGAAGCACGGAGGTCTTCGGGGGAGATGCTAGCAGCACAATATGTCCAGCTCCAACAATGTGCGGCGGACTTCTACGTGCGCTCTTTCATTCGTGACTTTGCCCGGTTGCCTGTCCCGCCCATCCCTTACCCGTTGTAGCTACATTTGATGCATCCTCTTCGTATGTATTACCCGTTGATCATCGCCTTCGGTGCTCACTAACGGCCGCATCCGGTATCTGCAGTTGTGCCTGTCCACGCGTATGAGGAGTTCGACCTGCCGACGCACGTCGTACGAAGTACGTCGCTACCTCAGTTCATCTCGTCGTGCTCCGCATAGTTCCTTCACGACGAGGTTGGTGGCCTGCGTGTAACATCAGCGACAATAGCCAATTGTCATATATTCATATTTGCCCGATAAACTACGCGAACATGAAGTGGTGAAAACTTGCATGTTTGTTCTGCTTCTCTGACCTCGCCTGTGCTTGGATGGAGAACATCCGCCCCCCCTTCCTTCACCAGGACAGCTATTTCTCCATCGCCGAACAGCTATGGCTCCGCCAGGCGTACCAGAGGGACGAAGTTCAAGACGCACTCTCCCACGACAAAGCCCCCGTCAAGGACGCTGCTGGAGTGCTCCAATGGTTATTCAGGCAAGAGATGACGAAGCCTGGTCCGGGGGAATCCGAAGAGGATTTCAAGGCGCGTGTGCGGCGCGCTCGCAAGGAGGATAGGCCGCGGCTCTCGCGCAAGGTTGAAACTCAGGCAGAGTTCGACGAGCGGATGAAGACCCTTCCGGAGGTGAGTCCTTCGTGAACGGGGATGAGCATGAGGCCGACATGGAGCACAGCATATCTATAAGTGGGTATCCGACTGGAGGGGGACGTTAAAGCGCGTCAAGGGAGCGGGAGTGGTGGCTTGGCAAGGGCCCCCCATCCCGCCCATCACCAAACCCCGAAAGCCCCGCGCACTAACGGGGCTGGATGTTTTTCAAACCAGCGCAGAAGCTCCTCCGTGGCCTGTGATTGAGACGGCCGATGGCAAATCGCGAGCTGACGTAGCGGGTTGGCGTAAAATTTGCGCTGAGGCGTGGCCTGCGCTCAGCGACCAAGAGCAGGCCATCTACACAGCCGTTGCAGACGACAGGAATCGCAAGCGTGCGGCGGAAGCAGATGGAGACCACGACATAGACGACCTCGATCAGGAGAGTGATGACGAGTCGCAAGGAGGCGGAACCGGGGTCGCACCGTGAGTGGGGTTTCAATTCATTGTGAATTTTCTCAACCATGAGTGTAGCAAAGCCGAGGATGTCGCCGCATGGATCGACATCCTAATGGAAGCGTTGTACAAGAATGCCGGATGGGGTGGTTTTGTTTACGTGGGCGGGCCAGATGACACGGGTGAAGTGCGAACATACCGGCAAGTCATCATTCACCGCCATCGACGAGCATTGGCGGATAACGTACAGACAGCAAAGGGAAGGGTGTGAATCGCTACGGCCTATCCTTCCACCAGGCCCTATTGCAAGCCATCGGGTGGACCCCGCAGGAGTTTGAGATGGTGTTCGACCTGTGGGTGCAACAATCCGTCGCTGGTGTGCATATTTGTGCTTCGACGCTACAATCGCCAGCTGACACGCTAGCAGGCCCACAGACGGAAGAAGAGCGCACATTTGCTGTTTTGGCAACCAGAGCCCTGCTAAGTACGTGTATCGTATTCGACATTCGCTCACACGCTGAGGGAGGTCAACCAGGATACCGTGAGATCATGAAGGCGCAGCAGTCCTCGACCACAACGCTGGGGGCGGGTACCTCGACCACAGTCGTAGCGAGGCCTGTCATTGCGACGGACGCACCTGCTGTCGAACAGGTCCCGATTTCACCGCTCGTCAGCGGCGATGCCAGTGCGACCAGCTCGTCCCGCGGCCCCATTCCAGCCACTGGAGACGTCAACAGCGTGCACGACGAGGCGGTGTCTTTGACCAGCGTCGACGAACATTACTTCCTTCATGACGATCTTCCAATGCAGGACGTGACCCAACAAGCTTCAACGACTCGAGGCGAGGACGTTCCACCCAGCCCATTCGGCGAACATATTCCAGGCTCCGGCAAGGTCAACAACGTCCCCGACGAGGCGCTGTCGTTGCCCAACGACGCCGAAAGCTACTTCGACACTGACGATCTCCCGATGCCAGACGCAACCCCCGAGGCCTTGACACCACGTAAGGGCCCTATTTCACTAATTACTGCGTCGCTTCCATAATGAACCTCGCATCCAGGCATTGCGAGTGAGCGAACGGAGGAGGCGGTCGATGTGGGGGCCGCGCCCGTTCGACTCGAAGAGGCTATTACCCGGCCTCGGGGGGGCCGCAAGAAGGCGCAGGCGTCTGGAGTGCCAATGCCCGAGGCGACAGGTTTGCAGGAGATTGCCCGCCCAACTCGTTCGGTCAAGAAGACGGCAAGAGCTCGCGGGGATGGCATGGATGGGTGCGCGCATAATGCCTTGAACGTGTACGATTTCATCCGCTCTAACATACAGCCGCAGGACTGCTCCACTCATCACGAAGAGGGCGAAAAATATGTAGGCAGAGGCCGCGGCGGCGGAGATAGCTTATTAGTCTAAAATCGATGCTATATCGGTGATGTTGCGGGCCACAATAAGCATTATGAAAACCGGGCCAATTGAATCACGCCCGAGTCGGTTCATGCGTGCTTCAGTTGCTGAACGATACCGGCGCTAAAGTGACAAATGGCGATAAGTTTAAACGGAGAGCAAGCTGCGGCCGACCGTGACCGCCAACTCCAAACCCCCTTTTCTGCCTGCCTGTGCCAGCTGACGCCATGCACGTAACGGTACTGCTGTGGTCTAAGGTGAGAACTGTTGTCATTGGTCTGCATAGGCGTACATATCAGAATGAGTACGGATAGAACGACCAGCTCGCCCGGAGCGAAGTCGTCGAGGTGTCAACAAAGACCCCTACGATCAGGCTCACAGATCTGCGAATCATCCGGGCGGTGGACGACGACGTCGCTTTTGTGAAGATGTTCGATGTGGAAAATGGCACATGGAAGGCCATCCGCATCGTAGAAGACGGCATAAAGCTGCCGGGGGCAATGTCAACGCTGTTAGTACGCGTCGGCGGCGTCACGTCGTGTCCCGAATTCGGCGCCGAGCTGGAGGAAATATACCGATCACTCGAATTTCCTCGCTACACGCCAACCACACCGCCGACGACGCTGATCACTCCGATAACCAAACAGTGGCTGGTTGAGATACGCGTGGTCTTCTGGGACAAGGTGTGTGGTTCATCGCGACACGTCGTCATTCGTACTATTCCTGGAGCAACGAGCTTCGCCCAGGATGGAAGCCTTCCGAAGGTCTTCAACATCAGCACAACGCGTAGATTCAAGATTAATTGGTCCGTTGACACCACGATCGAGCAGTATCTGGGCGGACGGATGGCTGCCCAGATGTGGTCCCTGGAGGACATTCGATGGGAGACCATAGACATGTACGCGGAAAGCCTCCTTCCACAGGAGCAGAAGAGCGTGCTCCTCAGGGGAATCGGCGTGCAGTTCACTGTAGGGCTTGGGCGTGAGATTGTCGCGTTGGAAGCCCAGGTCGAACGATTCAGGGCACAGGACGAGGAGCCATTGCTCGATGAGGTGAGTAAGAAACAACCGGTCTCCATTGCCACTCCCGTCGCGCTACCGACGCCATCATCAGGGGTTGTACGAATACTCGCCACCCAGACGCCTCCGGCAGAAGAGGGCCGCAACACAGAGCGCGGTGCGTCGTCGATTTGGCCCGTGCTACATCTCGCACAGACTCATCCGCACGCACTTCAGCCGGCCATCACCCACACCGTCCCCGCGCCAGGCGGCGGCGAGCGGGGGAACGCTGCCGTGGGGCTCTCCGACGTAAGGCAAAGCTTAATATAGGCGGCTCGTGTACGCCGTTTTGACATGCGAGGCTACAGGGGGATCCTGCGAAACACGTAGCGAATGAGGACGCTCCATCAAGGCTGAAGCGCGATGGGAGTGTAAAGGACTCTCGCAAGGAGGCTTTAGAGGGGAATGAGCTGGGTAGCGGCAGCAATGCCGCAGACCAAACAAAGGGTGCAGGCGACGGAAGCCGCGGGGGGGATATCGTCGGGACTAAGAGGCGAAGGGTGACATACGCCGGCATTCCGGAGGGGGTAGAACAGGCCCAGCGTTGGAAGAAGCGATGCGGAATGCCGCTGGGGGATGTCGTCCACGAGCGGGGCGACGTGCTCCCGAGCGACCTATTCTCGACGGATAAGATCCTCGGTGGCAGCGCGGACCAGCCCATAGATGTAGACGCGATCTGAATCATTAGCGAGGGTATGAGATGAACAGCCTCGAATCGAACCGGGCGTGCCAACGAGATGGTAACAGGGACGCGCCCAAGACGCCAGAGTGATGAAAAGCCGGGAGGACGGCCGTCCCAGCAGCCCCTCATCCCCCCTGCCCCCAACATGGCCGACGACGGCTTCGTCGACCGCCTCAAAGTCGTGACCGCCTTCTACAAAGATACGCAGACGAGCCGGTACTGCCCCACTGTGCGGCAGCTTTGTCAGATCGACGCGTCTAATCGTCTTCCTCCTGCTCCCACCAAGTGCCCGAGATGCAGCTTTACCTACGGGAACTTCGAGGCCTGTCTTACCTACAAGGACGAGCACCCAGGAAAGTGGTTCTTGAGAGTAAGTGCGAGCTCCCGCGTAGACTAGGAGGCCATGCTTACTGTGATTACCCACTGGCAGTGCGTCAAATGCAAGCGGATGCACATGCCGAGCCAGTCGGGCCCTTCGCCGTGGATCGCTAAGGCCATCGAGGCGCAGCTTGAGGCCAATGCGATGGCGGCGGCGGAAGACACGCTCGTGGCCCGAGAACAAGACGAGCTCCGTCAGGCCATCCTCATCTCCAAGCGCGAGGCGGAGCAGCAGCAAAAGGAGGCGCGCGCGCAGGCTAAAGTCGCGCAGAGGCTTCGCCAAGCGGATGCAAAGGTTCTCGCGAGCGTAGATCGCCTACGGCAAGATGCGCGCAAAGCGCACGAGCAAGATGTCGTCGCGAGGCGCACTGGCAGCCAGCCCAAGAAGGGCAAGGTGCGCTCGCCTGCTGTTGTCATGTCCGAGTGTGGGGCTAACTCGCGCGGCATGCACCTCAGAGGCCTGTTGCTGCGGCCGCTATAGAGCTAGCGCCTGTGAGACTCAAGCAGTTGGTGAAGCTCATACTGTGGCTAAAGGTGAGTACCGGCGGCACCTGCGCGCCAGAATCAACGGTGGCTGAAGCTGCCCTGCAGCCAGACGACGCTCCCGTGGCACACGATGTCGAGATCGACGCGATTGACCACCTGTATCTATTGGAGATCGACCTGTTGGGTAGTATGTGGGACGGCATCGAGATACAGGCGAAATTCTGGTGCCCCGAAACGAACGCTTGGTGTCCCGGCATGGAGGCGATGGCAGTAAGCTCCCACACGCGCATCATCCTCGTGCGCCACGACTTCATCGGCCGCTGTCTTAACCTTGGGACCGAACTTCACGTCGCCCAGACCTGTTGGAGCGGGAGCCCTGGCCGTGGGTCGCTGACGGCAATGAGGGCCGAGAGGAAAAGTATCTTGGGGCGAAAGATTAAAGCGGACCAGGTCTGGGTGGTTCTATGGTACAAGGTGCGTGGCGTCCACCGGCACAGCGGTTCTCCATCTTACAGCGACAGCACACCAGGACCACGAAGAGCCGGTGAAGGAACACGCCCACAAACTAAGCGACCAATTCCTACTGCGCTACAGCCCTACGATCTTCGAATTAATACGCAAGGGAGGCAGCGTCGACCTTTGGCATGACGACGTCTCCGACTGGGAGCGCATTCGCGTCCGCGAGCAGATCCCGATCAGCGCGGCTACGCACACGCTGCTACTGCGCGTGCCAGGCGTAGAGGGCATGCCGTCGTTAGGTCTGGAGATCGAGGCCCTAAGCATCCCGCGCCAGAGCATTTCGCCCATAGCGCAAAAGACCCCCGAACGCGGTCGTAAAAGGGATTGGGACGACGTAGTAGCGGAGTGCAACCGCTCGCGCTCGTCATCGCTGGAGCCGCTGCAGGTCGGGCCGGGCGTCAAGATGGGGGAGGCGACCACCGAGAAGGGCGACGCCGGCGACGGTGCGAGAGGGAGGGCGCCACGCCTAGCAGGGGGAGCGCACGCCGTGTTCGGTCAGTCGGCCCCTAAGCGCGTGAAGGTCGAGGAGGCAGAGGTGGACGCGAAGCCCAAAGCGCCCTTGAATTGGGTGGCGGCAGAGACTACGGTTGGGGGGGTGACAACGATTGACCTAGACCTGCTGTACGACTAGCCGTAACATGCGGTGTTGCTAACTAGCTACGGTCTAGAAGCCTTCAACTCATCCCAAATGCCCAGCATACCCACGCCGCGCCTCCATCGCTGGCGGCCCGTCTGCGCGTACACACCGCCAGCGCTGCGGAATTGTTTCTGGGTCTGATGACCACACTCCGCCCAGCGAAAGAGGCCCCCTGCAGAGTATTGAATAAGGGCGTAGCGATGTTCGTTAGGGCTCGCAAGGGGGGCGTTGGAATGGCGGAGGATTGCCGAGGGGATGAGTATTGTCGTTCCGGGCGGGAACTCGATGATGAGATGGAGGTCCCAAAGGATGAGATGCCCGCCGCGCGTCGGGTCGAAGTCGCCAAGAGCGGTGATGGCGCACATGCCCCAGGGCAAGTTGAGATGATCGGTATGTACGTAAGAGATGGCCTGCGGACCAAGGTTCCAGGTCGCGCATGCGAAAGCATTGCCTGTGAAGTTGTGCTGGAGGGACGGATCCCGCGAGCACAGCGCATCCAGCGTAGCATCGTAGAAGTGGTGGAGCTTGGGGAAGAATAGGCGGAATGAATCTATACAAACCCGTAAGTGCGCGACGAGCAATGGGAGAGGTCGGAGGGGGTCGTACTGTTCGCGAAGTTGGCAATCCGCCGCATGGCCGTAGACTGCTTGACTGCGTCCAGGATGGCGGCGTTGTAAGGAGAGTGTGCCAGATTGCCGACGCGCTGGAAATGAATGTCAGCGGCCAATCACGACGCGCCAGGACACGGACGCTCGCCTGCTGCCCACCACCAAACGAGATGCCGCTCGCCACCGCGGCAAAGTTGCCGCGTCGGTGCTGCACGTGTGATTTGGACATCCGTAGGTTGTCGCGCAAATATTCCGCGAGCACAGCGCCGCGACGGTGGACTTCCGACCACGGCACTTGGGCGGCCTGGCCAGGGGGTGGGGTAACCTCGCGCGGCGCCCCACAGACCACACCGATGAGGGTGCGATCCCTGTCGATGATGGGGCGGCATTGGCTGCATAAGACAAGGGTAAGTTGACGAGGAACGCTGAGAGGACGGCAAGAGACGCACTCCGGCCGCGCTTCGACAAGGCGGAAGCCCTGACAGCTGACGAGGTCGTCTACATCGGCAGGCTGGACATCCTCGGGGCTTTGAGGGTATCGTCGCGCGGTAAACGCGTTCTTCGTCACGGGAACGTCCTCCATGACCAATGAGAGGTCAGTGGCGATGGGATCGTGGGCTTCGGCGACGGAGGGCATGGCGAGGCCGGCATCTTGGGAAAGCAGGACGTCGGCGTCTATAGCTACCTCCAGCGCGACGGCAGCATCGCGATGCCTGATGGCAGAGTCTCTGACGGGCCTTTTGCCGCCGTTCGCATCGCGCAATCGGTCAGCGTTACGTTGACGGCGGCGCAGGTTGTGCGCGCGCGCATGGTGGCGCGCTTTGCTGATGTCAAGCGGATCGCCCGCGGCGGGATCTGCGAACTCCGGCACAGGGGGGATAACGATGGGAGGGACACTCGCGGGCGACGCTGAGTCCTTGTCGAACAGCTGGGTCACCGGGAGGTCGTCCTCTTCCGCGCAGACGGGCTCTCGCGCTTGATCTGCCAGTGCGGCTTCTATGCGCGCGCGAAGGTCGAAAAAGGCAGGCGCCTCAATGGGTACACCGAAGGGGGCGACGGTAGCCCAAGGGGAGAAAGAAGTGCCGCTCCGCGTCTGTTCGGGATGTACAGTGCAAGACAATGGCGGCAGATCTGGGGAGAAGGCTTACCTTGCGGAACCCGGAGAGGCTCGGGACGATGACACCTGGTGGGCAAGATGGGGTGAGGGACCCTGCTAATGCAACACCATACGCGCCGCGACGGGGAGACGGGAAACAAGGGGTTTGCGCGCGCTCTCCCCGCCACAACGCCAAAAGGGCCTCTCACCTGGGGGGGGCATGCTCTCGCAGAAGGGGTGGCGCGCCAGACAGCACTTGGGGGTGGGTGGTTATATAGCACTGGGTGGCGACGTAGGGTGGCGCACATGGGGGCATCCCATGAATATAGACGCAGGCGAGGCTGATGCCGGCGGCACCTTGCACGAGCCAGAACGGATTGCCGCGCCATAAGACCTACAAAAAAAGCGACAAGAGTGATGTGGAAGCCTCGTGCGCGGCGTGTATTAGGTACACACTACGCGACGAGGACGACACGCCTGGAAGGAAGCGAGCGGTCTCAATGACCGCTGCGCTCGACCTCCGTTGAGCCCCTTGTGGAGAGCTAGTGAGAGACATACCTGGGGGAGGGACGGCCAAGGCGCGACAGGATGTGGGTGGCGGAACATAGCGGCAACGAGAGATGTAAGTAGAGGAGTAAAGCAGGAGGAGGGCGCTTGTGATGAGGCACGCCCCGTTCGAACCGTGCATGTGACCGCTTATCTGGCGCTGAGCGCTTGATGACCAACACGCGACCACGTGTCCTTCCATTTTGGCGCTCTGGGGTCAGAGTCGGATCGCGCCTTTGGATAGCTCCCTCTCGCCCTTCCCCCCTTCGCCACCACCATGCACACACCTCTTTCGAACGACTGCCCTCCGCTGCACGCCGAGTCATACGTCAGAGAGCTCAGGTGGCCCTGCTTCCGTGACGACAGCATATTTGCCGGTTTAGGCCATCGACTTCGAGGTTGCACGCCGCTGCAGCACACACGAGGCGCGCCACGGCGCGAGAGGAGGGCGTAAGGAGGAGAGCGGGCTCCGTATTGGGTACGTGCGTCCTCTCGTGCTGCGGTGGCTGATATTGCTTTAAAGCTGCTGGGAGAGATCGACGAAGCAACTCGCTCAACGCGGCAGAATGAATCGTCCCCCTACCATCACCCAGACCAACGACGAGGGGGCGCGGTACGTTCCCCCGCGGCCGCGCCGACAACCGCAGCTCCGAATTGAGCCCGAGACCAGCGACGAGGGGGCGCAGTACGTTGCCCCGAGGCCGAGCCGCCGACCGCAGCTCCGAATTGAGCCTGTCCCACTTCCCCGCGCAGCTATGCGCACAGCTGCACCCGCGCGCGCCCTGCCCCCGACGTCCACCACCGCCCACACGTCCAGGATGCCGACATTGACCGAGCGCGCCAACAACCTGACACCCGCACAGCTCTGGCAGTTCTCGCGCGCGACGCCCTACCCCATGTCGACCATCCCTACGTCGGCTGCCCCGGGAACCCACGACGCGCGCACGGCGCCCGCCCCGATGGGCACCCCTAGCGGGTACGTTCTTCCAAGCCTGCCATTGCACGACCTCATCGGCCTAGCTGAGGCTCAAGTCGCCACCCGGATTGCAGGCGACGATGACAATGCGACGCTGAGCGCCAGCGAAGGGGACGAGCAGGAAGAAGAGACGGTCGAGCGCGAGCTCGAGCGGGAAGACGAGACGGACGGGGGCAGCACAAGCTCAGGTGGGTCAGGTTTGCATGCGCGCGGTCGAATGCATGAGGGCTGGCCGTTACTGACCCCCACCCCCGCAGCCACGACCACTACTTCAGACGTCGTGGGCTTCGCAGACGCCAAGCTGAGGAGCGCGATCGACAGCCTCAAGGCTAGCCTGGATGGGCTGGAGCAGGCGGTCCAGAACCTTTCGGAGGAGGTCGATCGCTTCGCTGGATGACCGCTAGTTAGTCGTTGGGGTGAGCAGTTGACAGTGGCCGCCGTCCATAGATCTGCAGCCTGTAAGTAGTGCTCCCTTTGAAACAGGTCCCCAACTCTGTCTTCCCGCCACGTACATCGTACCCCATTGTCAGACGAGAGCGCTAGAATTGTCGATGCGTAGTGTACATTGGCCGTTGTCTGGTGATTCCGCGCCCAACATGCATGTACACCACATGCATGTATGCCCTTGTCCGCGATGCAGCGTGTACTGAGGTTACAACTGGCAGTTTATTGTACACCTCGATAACCAAGTGGCCAAGCGTGGTCGTTCGGATTAATCTGCGGATGTTGGTCTTGGGTTCGAACCCCGGTGTCCTTTTTTGCTCTTTCTAAGAGAAAGGCGCGCAGGTTTCCCCTGTGGCTTCGTGGCTGTGCTTTTGGGCGTCTCTGTCGCCGGCTATCAGCTCTTTCCCGGGCCCGAGCCACACATGCATGTTTGTTACGCCTAATAGGCGGGGCAACATGCGTGTGCTGTTGTAGACGGCTCGCTACGACATTTTCATGGGTCATCCGTACAGCGATCTTCTCCCACCCTGGCTCTTCTGAGTACGAGTCTAAGGACCACTGATGACCTTGCAAAGCAGGGCGCGCCATAACCTGTTGACAATCAAGACTTATGCTGACAACAGGAGGACTGCTGTGCGAGTCAAGGGCAAGATGTGGAGGCACAGCGCTTCTTGTGCTATGGGGCGATGATGATTTTAAGCCCCCTGTTCTAGGCTCCGCCGGAAATGCGATGGCGCACTCTGAGCGCTGCGTTGATTGTATACATGAATTGAAGTTGAGTATAGAGAACTGATTAACTGATGTCATTCTTTTCTATGCACTCCAGCAGAAACGAAGGATCAGAAGGTGGTGTAACGAGTCCCAGCCGTTGATTCGTTCTTATGAGCACCAGATCGCTTGTATAAAGTCCGATGCAACTTGGCTACATTGGAGATGTACTCCTCTATGAGGCTGTATGCATAGAAGATTAACTTACGTGGATGAAAGACGTTTGTTACAGAGAGATACGTGGCGGAACCAAAGGCTGGTCAAGCGTGAGATCTACAGGTGCGCAACAGCCTTCTGGCACTGTTCCGAACAAGGATTGGAGTCCACATGCCGTGCACTTGTCACCGGACTGTAAGCTCCAGGAAGGCTGTGAATTATGCACAACACTTGCTTTTATGGGTCTCGAATTTATCATAGTAATGTCGTTACCAGGGCGCCGAATTTGGAGTGCAGCTGTCACAACGGTGGCAGCCACAGACAGTGAGCCAATACGATTCACTGCTGAGTTGCAGCAGCTACGGAATGTACTCGGACTAGACATGAGAAATATTGACGTTCAACATCTGTTAAAAGGTCTCAGCAAGCAGATGAAGTTGAGCAGGAGACGACAAGGAGCCCTTCAAAAGTCCAGCGTCTTCCATGCCTTCCTTGCCTCGCGCTCGGCATCACACATGACCAGAGTGGTCTCAGCGCAACTGCCATAGCACATGTAGTCCCCGAGATCGCCGTCAGTATCACCATCTTCTATGCAGGCAGATTGGTTGAACTGACTGCTATTCTCAGGCTTCGTCCTTCCTTGAGCCGGCTGATAGATAGGAAGGTGACATCATGTCTTCCCTGGAGAATCTGATTGATGATGCAGGTCTGGAATTCTGCTCCTATCTCTCGGAGTTCAGCTCCTTCCGCTGCCACGGGGCTTCTTCAGGGCGCTGAACGTCAAGCTATCAGGTACCTAAGTTGACAGCTCTCATAGTTATTCTTAGAGAGTCTGGGGTCCCTGTCATCTCGGGCATTCTCTCCTCATATGCTCTCCGTCCCTGGCATCTTGCGAGAATCGTGAGCGATCTTCCTATAGATATGTTGGCTACTGCCTTGAGGCTGACTCCCTGTCAAACTCCTTCCGACTCGACGTGACACATGTCTTTCTGCGGGATACCTGAGGAACTAACAATTCGTACCCAACAGGGGGTCGGCAGTAGCACATGGACTCGCCCACCCTTTTACGGCAACCTCACCATACCTGAACTGTATGAGTTCCATGCCGAGAACAGCCCCGACCATCCCGTCATTGTTTACCAAAATACCGATAACGTACTGCAAACGCTGCGATTCAAGGATATCATTCATGGAGTCCGGAAGGCAGCGAGCGCGACCCTCCCCAACATGCATCAGTTTCCTACTGAAACCGGCACTCAAGTAGGGATCTTGGCGTCTGTTGGTACGTGGTGTGTTGTGCACTGGTTTTTCGTCTCCAACCCTCCTATAGATTTCCCCACTTACTTCACGTTGGTTCTTGGAATCATGTACGTGGGATACACGCCATTCCCAATCTCTGTGAGGAACTCCGCACCCGCCATTGCAGATCTTCTCCGGAAGACCGCCACAATGGTTCTTTTAGTCAGTGCAGACTCAGCAATGCAGCACCTGGCGTGTGAAGCGAGAGCTTTACTCGCAACAGAAGGTTATGAAATAAATCTCGTGGATGCGCCTACATACGACGACCTGTACAATTCCAACGATGGCGGGGCACAATTCAACGCGCCCTCTCGCCGCCATACAACTGGTGGGGACACTGCGGTGATCCTTCACTCTTCAGGTAAGCACTATAGATCTGTCTGTTTCCCGTATCCACTAACGGTGGTTTGTATAGGCTCGACATCATACCCGAAGCCGATACATTTGCTGCACCGGAATCTCTCGAAATGGGCTTTCGCACCGTGTACGTAGTTCGGCTTCCTTGAATTACATGACTACATCTCCAGAATTGCAGACTTCGGTGATATGGATCTTGCAGACATACGGATATCTATGCACTGCGTACCCATGTTCCGTAAGTCAGCTTCCGCTATGCATTTATTGCGTGCATCTGTTAATTGATATGCGTAGACTTGATGGGAACCATAAGTTTGACTTACCCGGTATGTCTCTTGAGTTCGGTATACTTGTCTCTGATATTGATTCCTCGAGAACCACAGGTAGGCTTTGGTGCGGTCATCACCACATTCAGACCATCTGTCCCACCCATCGCGCCTACCGCTGAGAACGTACTACATGCTGCCATGAGTACGGAATGCAAAGGGATGATCTGTGTTCCTGCATTTGTGGAGGTAGTCACATCTTCTTCGCTACTCAGGAAGTCGCTAAAGATTTGCACAGACTTGGGCTCTCGACCTTCGTTGTTTAGCGCTCCTTCGAAACTTCGACTTCATTGTGAGTCTCAAATAGCCTTGAAACACTTGTCAGAGTCATTCAAGCGAGTTCTACAGATTGTCGGGGGCGCCGCACTGAGTATTAATATCGGTAATGGCCTTGTAGAACAGGGTGTCAGATTGTTCACGGTGTATGGGGCGTAAGTTACATATTTCTATACCTCAGATTCAATGTACGACGTAGCTGAATATGGGTGTTTAGGACGGAGATTGGCGTCGTCGTGAGACATATGGCCCTCGCGCGGCCCATGTCCGGAGACAAATGGTCCTATTTCTCGATCTCGCCAGCTGTAGAATACGGGAGATTAGCCCAACAAAGTCAACCAGGAGTATTCGAGCTCGTGATACTGGTAAGGCGTCAGCACCGTTCTTTGATTCTGGGCTAACACTTGCCCAACCAGGATTGCACGAGTTGGTCCCCTAACGTGTTCAATACCACCTTCCGTGGACGTGCCGCATACGCTACAGGAGATCTATTGGAGGTTCATCCTACAGATCAGAATTACTTCAGAGTCTTTGGCCGCGTAGACGATCAAATCACTCTGTCAAACGGGGAAAAGGTAAATCGTGAATACTTAGCGGCAGAAGCGCGTACTGATTTCAGATGTAGTGCAATCCTGTACCGATAGGTGAGTCAAGTGATATGTCAACCAGTAGAAACGCTGAATTTGAATCGGCAGAATCCGGTCTTGTGCAAGATCCAGAGATCGCCGTCGCCGTTGTCTTTGGAAGCGGCAGAGCTCAAGTTGGTGTGATCATACAGCCGCGAGAGCCGTTCAATCGGAACAACGTCTCAGAGCTTCAAGCGTTCCGGGATAGAATCTGGTGCGTCTCATGTTTTTGTTTCCTGTGCAACAAAGAATCGGCACTAATTTGAAGAGGTTCTGTTCTATAGGCCAACTGTCGAGCGAGTTAATGCGTACACACCGTCGCACTCGCATATCTTCAAGGAGGTACGTCTGCTCAGAAAGTTCTTGAACGTCAGTACGTTGAAACGGAACTTTTCAATTAGATGATCACTGTGACGGACGCTTCGAAGCCCTTCTCTTTGACGAGCAAGGGTACCCCTCGCCGTCATCTCTGCTTGCATGAGTATAGAGAGGAGATTTACAGGGTCTACGACAAGATCGACAGCTACGCCCTTGGGGGCATTCCGTTACCGCGTTCATGGGATAAGCAATCTGTGAATGCCTATGTGCGCAGCGTAGTTCTCGAAGCTATGAATGTGCCATGGATCAAAGATGAAGACAACCTCTTGCAACATGGCTGTGACAGGTATGACTCAACCTCTTTCTGATTTACATTCACCCACAGTCTCACATTGATGCAGTCTACGAGCAAATTGGATACGCAGCACCCTCGCGCGAGCTCTGGAAACAGCTCATGAACATGCCCCCTATATACCCCATAACCTTGTGTACGCTTACCCCACGATAGGTGATCTCACCACCTACGTCTGCACATCCTTGAGCATGGGCGGGCGAGGTCGAGAAGATGAACATGCTTCCCATATACTGCAGATGAAGTCGCTTGTCGACTGTTACAGTCACTTTCCGTCTCCCGAATGGCACGAACCTTGTTCCGGACGTGCCGAAGGAACCTATAGAGAGGTTGTCTTGATCACTGGTACGACAGGAGCCCTTGGATCCCATCTCCTTTCGCAGCTTCTGCGGGACCCACGGGTTGTACGAGTGTATGTTCTAGGTCGCGTTTCGAGCGCGGGATGCACCGACCTGCGGGAGAGGCAAAGAGAGAGTTTTAACAAGTGGGGCCTGGACGGGGAATCACTCGATGGGGCTACTGTGACATTCCATGTCGCGAATTTGACCAAGGAAGACTTGGGTTTAGATAGTGCTCTCTTGCTAGAGGTATGTTCTCTTGCTTGTCACAGTTTCCAGGACTCACTATCAGGTCCATACAGGTCAGGAGCACCGTAACCACTATCATCCATGGTGGTAAGAATTTGTCTCACGAATGTTGCGATGGCATGCTGACGATCATGATAGCTTGGCGGGTCGATTTCAACGCCACTCTCGCTTCATTCGAACCTCTGCTATCTGGGACTCGACATCTCGTTGACATTGCGCTTAGTTCCCTTGTGCCCGGTGGGCCAAAGCTTCTATTAGTAAGCTCTGTCAGTGCTCTACAGAGTGCGTTCTCTCTGCTCGCACCGAGGCCATGCGCTCATAATCCAATAGATTACGTATCCGACAGTCCGGCAGTAGAATCAATCGATTATGGACCAGAAGTCGCACTGGGGACCGGGTACGGTGAGAGCAAGTGGGTAGCTGAGCAAGTGTTACATTGTGCAGCCCTGTATACGGGATTGCGCACTGTATCTGTGCGTGTGGGACAGCTGAGTGGGGATACACATATAGGCAGTTGGAACACCAAAGAATGGATCCCATCTCTCCTACGCATAAGCAAACGACTTGGTGCAATTCCAGCCATGGATACAGTGAGCGGACATCATTCATGTGACATGGGTTTGCTAACAGGCTATTGTCTAGAACATATCGTGGGTTCCAATAGATGTCGCGGCTTGCGCTTTGCTGCAAATGCGTCACAGCTGCCATCCAGTCCTCCACCTAACCTCTCCGTGTCCTGTACCGTGGATGGACATTTTCGGACCGCTTTCTGTAAAGCTCGAAGTCTCCCTCACCTCGCCCTTGGATTGGATCTCGCGAATGAGGCAGTTAGAGCCCGACGTTCTCATCGGAGCTCGTGGAACAGAGTGCGGAATGGATGCGCTCTCCGGTTGGTTTGAGGTCGCTATGTCAACCGAGAGGTCTGATATCATACTGTGCAACGAAAGGGCTGTGGAGGCATCAGAATGCTTGGCGGCATTGGGAAGGCTGGGAGAAGGAGATGTGCTGCGATGGATAGCATTCTGGAATAGTACTGAGTTCTTGTAGTACACGTCCGAATCGAGTTTTTACATTCTGTGAACCTACATTCCCACTGCACAGAGCGATCCACATCTTCGAGCCAATCACTACCCCTGATGTAGAGACATGGCGTACTGGTTTCCAGAAACAGTGTGTACATCGTGTGAGAGAAAACAGCGCTTTTGATTTCTATCGACCATTCCAGAATTCTATGTATGGCTGTAGCTTATAAGAACGAGTCCAAGTCGCCGGCGTACGAGTACTGCCTGCACTACACTTGTCACAGCACCATGGCCAGCTCTCTTCCTCATCCCAACTCCTATACTGCATACGCTTTCACCGAGAAGCACGGATCTTTGCAGAAAATAACAGTTCCTTGGAGGGATCCAGAGGAAGGGGAGATTGTGGTCAAAGTCATCGCATGTGGAGTTTGTGGCAGGCACGTAGTATGAACCCGGAACAACTTCCGCTAGCACTCAGGTCTTGATTTACAGTGACGACCAAGTTCCCAAGGGCTTATTTCCCATTGATTACCCTCGTATTCCAGGACATGAGATAGTCGGAGATGTTGTCTCAATACCTCTCACTGAGACTACTTGGACGCTTGGTCAACGCGTCGGTGGAGGATGGCATGGGGGACACTGTTACAATTGCTCACGATGCCGCCATGGGGACTTTGTTACCTGCGAGTCGCGGGCGATCAATGGTGTGTTTCTTGCCTACTAATATCTCTATCATCAGCGCTCGCTTACAGGGCTGCTATTTGTTAGAGTTCACGAGTTCACGCTTCACGCATCAGGCGCTGTAGGCCGGCATCTCCCGTTCACACTATACTAGCACCCGTCACATAACCAACGTCCCTCACTCGTTCCATCATCTCCCCGAGTGAGGGTACGTCGTCTCTCGCGTTACCCACATACTCACCGTACTCACTATGTCCTGTAGCGCCTCATACTTTGGGCTACAGGTAATGAAACTCACTCGTTCCATCATCTCCCCGAGTGAGGCGCCTCATACTTTGGGCTACAGAAATTAACAGGTTATGAGCCCCTGCGCCTGAAGTTCCTGCCAGGCCTCTGTAGTCACCCCTTTTTGCGACCCCTCGCCTTCTCTCGAGTCACCCTAGTCTCAGGATCACTCTTTTTACCGCCGCTACGATCCCGGCCGGCGTTTTGTGGCGCATATACCACTGTATCGTTATTGCGGTGCGCATATAGCCACCCGTTTTTTTTGCATTATGACTGGATCAGAAGACACGTCG